TGTGTGTGTGTGTCAGCAGAGCTCCAACTCTTTACAGTTCAGGTTTTTCTTCTTCTGACTTCACATTAAAGCATTTGAAGTCCTCCAGGCTTTTATTTTGAAACCATCCACCCTCTCTCTCCTCTTCCTGCAGATGTGCACTCCCAGAAACACCCCCGCCACGCCACCCAACTTCCCCGATGCCATCACCATGTTCTCCAAACTGCGGGCGTCCGAGTGTGGCTCCGGCAGTGGGCCCTCCCAGGTGTCCATGGCGTGCTCTCCACCAACTCACTCCTCCACGGCGGGATTCGGCTCCTTCTGGGCGTCCTCGCCACCCAGCCACCAGCCGGCCTGGCTGCCCCCGTCATCGCCCACGGGCCACCACATGCATCACAATCACTACCACCACATGCAACAGACTCCTATGTGGCCCCCCGTCTCCCAGCCCACCGGCTCCCAGCAGCCTCCTGTTGTATCGGCACTTCATGGACAGAGATGAGGCTGAGCGGCGGGCTGAGTGAGCTCGGGCAGGGCGGGAGGGTCTGGGGTTTTAGGGGCGGGAGGGGGGAGGATTTCTTGTTTCTCGTTTCTCTGAACTGAACACGAGCAGTTTGGCTTTGCTGCGAGCCGGAGGGCGACACTGGAGGGTCTCCGAGGACACTGAGAAACTGAACCCAGCCACGCTCTGAGCAGAACCCCAACAGAGCACTTACCGAGGATCGGAGCCATGAGACGTGATTTTTAGAGACTCTCTTTTCATTTGTCAGAAAAAAAATCAGACAGGAAGTCGACAATAAACCAGCAGACCAAGAGGAGGACGAATCAGACGTGTGTGTGTTTGGAGTACAGATGTGCATCAACAGGTCAGGTTTCCGCCCAGGCTGCAGACACTAACGTGATGTCAGAGACGATCCCAGTTTGTGCTTCTCACTGAGTGCTGAGTTGTTTAAGGAGGTTTTTCTGAGCTGGATGGAAAAATGTTGAGTTTGCTGCACACCTGCCAGATGTGAACACAGCTGGAAGTGAGAAACTGTGCCTGAGGCAGAAAATTTAAAATAAATGTAATCTTGTTTATGTCCAATGATTCTTTTTTTTTTTTTTTTTTTTGTCGTTCTCTTTGCTTCACGATTCCTGTTTCCACCTCCTGAATCTACAGATTTTTAATTCCACTTACAAATAAATAAAACTAAACACCTGCTCTGATTCTTTCACATCTGCTGATGTGATGAAATGAACCGCAGATATGAGAAGGTTGGACAGAACGTGACGTCCTCAGTCTTCATCTGACAGTCAAAGCGTTACCTTTGTGCACAGCTGAGGTTCTTTCAGAATGATTCAGGCTTTTCTTTACTATTTAAATCAAAAATTGGACTTAAATCATCAAGTTTGTGTTTTGTCATGGAAACTGTAACACCATCATAGACTGTATATAAAAGATGGACATCACCCATTAATTTGAAACGTCCTGTTTTAAAACATTCAGTTGGCAACTTTTACTGAGTGACTTTGACCATAAACTTATCAGGAAAGTACAGCTGAGGTCAGAGGTCAAGTGAGCAGTAAGTAAAAGAGTCGCCCCCTGTTGGGCATTAGCAGGAATGCATCATTTTCAATGTTCGTGCCCAGAAGCCACATCAGTCTTTCATGAGCAGTGCGTGCATGTGCTTCGGGGCACAAATTAAAAAAACGAAACCTAAATATCTCCTCCTTTTTAAAAACAATTTCGTATCTTTGTTTGGATTGAGATCTTTATCGTGCAGCAGATTTGATATTTTTTCATTGCACTGATATAGATGCACCGATGTAGACGAGCTCAGTAATGTTCGCCGACGTCTGTGGGTGGGGTCAGCTGTGATGATGAGCTGAGTGCGGCGAATAAATGACAGAAGAAGAAGAAGAAGGTCAAAAATGAGCTGAGATGGAAAGTTTGCAATAAGCTGCTGATGTGAAGCCGGATTAGAGAGCAGAACTCGAGCGTCCACTTTTCTGGGTTGTAAATAAAAAGATTCCAGTTGAACTTCTGAGAGCGCTTCTATTTTTTTTTATGTCGGCTCCTCCGCCATGTGTCTGCGAGAGGTTAAAGGTCGACTCGGCAATTTCCACACAACCTTTCAGACAACCAAACGCTCCTACCTCCACCTGTGTGAGTGGGCGGGGCCCCGCGCTCGCTCTGAATGTACTCCGCAGGACTTCCTGTTTGACAAGTCCTGCATGCGTCACGGCGAGTAAAATAAAGTTGCGTTTACGTCACGAGGAAGAAGAGTGAGGAGTTTTCAGGTTTTGTTCTGACAATCAGCCGTTCGTGAACAGCGTTTATTCGCTGCAGGAGGGGCGTGTCGGTCTCTGACATCGGAGACTCTCAGATTTAAATGATGCGAGGGAACTCGAGCGCCGTGAGCTAACAGGCTAAACGCTCAGCTTTACGGCAACGCCTGCACGCTGTCAGACTTTAATGTGACGTAACGCTGTCCAAACGCTGTTTACGCCAAATTCCTTTTTACAAAGCGAGGACACTTTAAGCAGAACGTCGCGGCGCTGAAATGGTGGGAAAATTGTTGCCACAGACGTCGTGTTTGACTCGTCTGGGTTAATGCGATGGTGTCAGGTTGTAGCTGTTCGTCTCTGCAGAAATCCAACCCTCTGAGGAGCCCACGCGTTAACCCTGAAACTGAACTTTATGAAGAGATTTGCTTAAAATGAACTAAGAACAGATTCTTAATCAATCGTTAACAGTTTAATCGACACTGGTTCGATTGTTGGAGCCTCGATCGGCTCCACTGGTGGAAGCGTAGCCGAGTATTTAGAGTTAAAGATGTAAATGTAACAGTCTTACAGCTGAGTCGTTGGAAAAGTTTAAGCGTGAAACATTTGGACTGAAGATCAACTAATGATCGGCTGATCGATCCCTTTTAAAGTTGAATGATTTCCAGTCCATCATGTCAGTAAACGCAAGTTTGGCTTTAAAAAACTTGGAAAATCAGATTTTTTCCAAGTACAAAATTTCACATTTGCGACTGAACCCACCAAAGCTTTGATTTATGGGCTCAGTCGTTGGTGGATCGCACAGCCGCCGCCAGCTTTTCCACAGTGAAACGCGGAGGTCAGTGGACGCCTTTCAGGGTCCGAGCTTTTAAAGAGACCTTTTCCTAAAAGTCTTATCTCTGACGATGCGTTCGCTGACCTCAGGGCAAATTTTTTCCAGTCTGAACTCGTTCTGGACGAGTTGAGGCAAATGAGGAGCGGCTGGAAGGTGACCTCCCGCCTGGTTTGTTGTTGCCGACGATCCGTGGGGTTCGGAGGCTCTGTTTGAGATTCCCGCAGCGTGGATTAACCGGCCTGTCCACTCTGCTCCTACTCTTGTTTTTGCAACATATTTTAGGCCTTTCAAATCCAGCCGAGGACTTTACAAACTGGTCGAAGGGTCATTAAAATATGTTTTTAGCTCTGGTCACTTCCTCACAGACTCTGATCCACGACTCTGTTTTAGAGATTTCGCTCATGAACTTTTTTTTCACTTCCTTTGTTTAAATTTGTATTTATATGTTTAATAAAACAACTTCTGATGTGTACTTCCTCTGGGCTCTTCTGTCTTTCTTGGCAGTGTTTAGTCACGCCACACCTATTTTAGTTTTACTGTAAGAGCGAAAGAAAGACGGTTGTACTTCTTTGCATTTGAGTTTGAGGAAGGATGTGGTCGGGCCGGGTGTCAAACTGAAGAGTCAGTAAGAACCAAAGTAACGTGGATTAATGAGCCGCTGCTGAAAGTGAAGCGAACGCAGCTATGTGACACATGTAAATAAGGAAGGATACGCCATTACACGAACGGGACGAGATTTCAGGAACTTTTTCCTGTTGGAGCGGCTCCAGTCTGACGAGTTCACAGCGTCCTCCGCTTGACTGATGTGAACTTTAAAGGCCTGCTTGGCCACATTTAATAACTAGAGATGGCACGATACCACTTTTTTATGTCCGATACCGATATCATAAATTTGGATATCTGCCGATACCGATATGAATCCGATATAGTGTTTTTTAATCAACAGAACTGTTTTTTAAATATCTTGCTGCATTTTGTATAAGTTCATACTCAAGTTTAAAACAACA